CCCACCCCTTGCATCCTTGCATATAATATGCTTATAATAATCCTTGCATTTGATATAGTGCCTTATCAGGTCATTGAGACGTCTCAAAGTGCTTCACAGGATACACTGTAAATTGGATATTTTGTGGGCGAAATGCAGCAGCCAGTTTTGTACACAACAATGTCCCACTAACAATCGTGGATTGACTGATCTATTTTATTTGGGGGATTGTTGGACAGGATAACGGGAGAAACTCTTTTCTCTGTTCAAATAGTGCCATAGGATCTTTAACATCCACCTGAACAGGCAACAACAACAACAAAATTACATTTATAGAGCGCCCTTCACATCGGGAGGACGTCCCAAAGCGCTGAGGCAGACAGGAAATTGATCTAACGTCTTATCCGAAGGACAGCACCTCTACCAATGTAACACCCCCAGCCCTGCATCTGATTGTCAGTATAGATTATGTGATTCCAAGTCCCAACATGGGTCTTGAACCACAACCTTCTGACTCAGAGGCGAGAGATACTGCTGCCCAGACCCACAGCCAGGCGCAGTGGTAGCAAACCCCAACAAGTTTGGTTTCTGTGTGTTTCTGCAGCACAATAAACCACTAGCAGGTCCATAAAAGAAACTCCCTCCTGGACATACAGTCAATGTAGCGCTTTGTGACTTCTTGATGACCTGATAAGGCGCTATATTAAATGCAGGGATTGTTGTATTCTCTGACATTATTAACTGAGTTTATGCTTTGTATGTAACCAGTAGAGAGCGGATGGGAGCAGCTGCAATGAATAGCTCTACTGTGTTCCCCTGTCTCTGTGCGAGCATTGCAAGAACACTTTCCTATCTTCTAACCCCTATAGATAAGGCTCAGAGCAGTCACTACCACTCCATGGCACAACATATTGATGCACTAATACACAGTCCTGCTCAGTTGGCAGCACTCTCACCTCTGAGTCGGGAGATTGTGAGTTTAAGCCTCACGTCAAGACCATTAAGGTCACGATCTAAACTAATAGGCGAATGCAGTGCTAGGGGAACTGCATTGTTCATCCTGCTATCCATCAGAGGAGATGTTAAACCGAGGTTTGTGGGACATCTCTGCGTGCAAATTGGCTCCTGTATTTTCACCTTAAATACATAGTCACTGCGTATTACAGAAAGCTCTTTGAGACTCTTAGGGATGATAAATTGCTATGTCTAAAAATGCAAGGATTTGTATAGGAGCACAATCTCCTCTCTTCACCAGTTTAAATACCAATCTGCATGTGAAACCCTGCGATTACTCTACCAATTTATCCTTGACTGTGGAGGAGGGCAGGGATAAAACATGAAGAGGAAGTGGGAGGTAGTGAGCAGCCAGATTAAATAAACCATTCACTAGGATTGTTTTGCTATTCAAAATAAATCTCAAACGCAAGGATTTTTATTATAAAAATAAATGAAAGGGATCAGAGTATGACTTTTTGACTCCTTTGTTGAATGGAACTACTCAGGTTTCATTCTGTTGGAATGCAACAGTCAATAAAGATGTTTACTCCAAGTCACTTGGGGGCTAAATATAGCCCAAATCAACTCCACTAAATTACACTGGGGGCCTGTGATTGTGGAGCTATTGCTATTCAGTGGCACACTGCCTGAGAATATGTTCCTTACATCTGCTTGTTCAGGTTAAAGATCCCATAATATACTTGAAAAGAGAAGTGAGTTTCTCCCGGTGTCCTGGCCAACAAGCTTCTATATAAATTGAATATTCACTTCATGACTGAGGGATCTTGGTTTGTACAAATCGGCAGCCGTATTTTTTGCATCAAGTGATTACACTTGACATCAATTACCTTTCAAGCACGTTTAGTGTCATTGGGGCATTTTAGATGCTAAATTAAATACAACGATCATCATATTTTATTGGTGTAAAAGAAAATTTTAGCCACAATTTCTGTCTCTCCTTAAATTCACTTCCCTTGATAACCTTTCACTGCTCTTTTCTCTTTGTTCTCTGATACAATTTCACGGATGTTAGTTATTCTGGCCGTTATTCATGCGTGAACCTTGATAGTGAGTGTAGCAGGCTACTATATTTCATTGCTGGAGCATCAAAGACAAATCCAATGTTGCTCATAACCCCACACCTTTCAGCAAGGGTCAATGAATAGTGATCAGTGGGACCCCTGGTTGTTTTTCCCCCTTCTAAGCCAGAACCATTGAAGGCAACTGAAATAACAATAATCTTTAATAATCCTTACATTTGGTAGAGCGCCTTTCACGTCAGGAGGACATTCCAAACGCTTCACGGAATATAGAATAAAGTGGAATGACCTTGGTTTAACGTCTGATCTGAAGGACACCTCCGACAATGGAATACTGCATTGGAGTTTAGACTATAGGAGTTCCAAGTCCCAACGTCAGGCTTGAATCCACAATGTTCTGACTTAGAGGAGAGAGTGCTGCCAACTGAATCAGCCTGCCACAGTCTGGTGCCCTCACTGAGATGAAATAAGTTAGATTAGGGCTTGAATCTTTCATTTTTCAGTCTTTATGGTCTGTTTCTGTGCCACAATTTACCCAACAGGCTATGAGAGGAGCTATAAATACTGTTTTCTAAAAAAAATCTAATACAAACTTTCCCTTATACTGTTGCGGGAAGCCAAGAGATAGGAGACTGACTTGCAGTCATTACACTGGTGGCCAGTTCTCCCCGGCCATGGATCACAGAAAAATAAACTTTTTAGCTCAGTCTGTTATTCATCCATTCTGTTGCAAGTCTCCTGTGGGAGTCCAGATGGAACTGAGCCCCTGTCCATTTCTGTGTCCTGCAGTAGGTTGTCAAGGAATATAATAGAATTCTTAATGAACAGCGGCACCTACTGGCAAAGATTACGATGTGCCATTTCTTTTCACTTCTCTTACACCCTTCCTGAAGCGTAGTTTCATGAGTGCCTCTGGCATGTCACTAAAGTCGTCCTTATACACATATATATATAAAATGTATATATCGGCAATAGCAGATAGTGTAACTATCGTGGGACATCATAGATGAGGGATTGTTACCCCCACCCCGGAAAGCGATCCGCCAACCGACTAACAACTGAGTTCCCACTTACTGCTGGGTAAACAGAGTGCGGAGTAAGGAAACTTGCCCAAGGTTTCACCCCGCCCGGGAATCAAACCTAGGCTCAGCTTGCTCAGCTCTCTCGCAGAGTATACTGTGAAGTGTAGTGACACCCAACTCTACCTTTCCTCCTCTATCCTCAACTCCACGACCACCGATGTCCTGACAGCTGTCTGTCCGACATCGAGTCCTGGACGAGAGATAACTTTCTCCAGCTCAACGTACGCAAAACTGAGGCCCTCCTGATTGGCTCACGTCAGTGCCTCCGCACCTCAGGCGCTGACAGCATCAGCATCCAAGGCTGCACTCTCCACCTCTCAAAGCCATCAGGAACCTCGGGGTTTTGTTCGACCCTGAGCTGTCCTTTCTCCCCATATCGCGCCACAACTGGCACCGCCTTCCATCACCTCCGGAATGTCGCCAGACTACGGCACTACCTCACCCCTCACGCGGCTGAAACTCTGGTCCACGCCTTTATCACCTCAAGGCTGGACTATGGGAACTCTCTCCTCCGGCCTTCCCGGCACCTCCCTCCCCACTGCAGGTCATTCAGAACTCTGCAGCTCGTGTACTGTCCCGCACCAGACACCGCGACCACATCACTCCCACCCTCGCTCGCCTCCACTGGCTCCCCATCCCCCAGAGGATCAAATTCAAGATCTTCACCCTCGCCTACAAGGCCATTCACGGCCTCGCTCCCTCCTACCTCTCCAACCTACTATCCCCCTACCTGCCCGTACCCTCCGTTCCTCTGGCTCCGGTCTGCTCCACATCCCCCGCCCCAACCGCCCTACTATCGATGGCCGGGCCTTCAGCCTCTCAGCCCCGAGGCTCTGGAACTCCATCCCCCAGTGCCTTCGCCGCTTCCTCCCTTTCCTCCTTCAAGGCCGGTCTCAAGACCTTTCTCTTTGACCGTGCCTTCAGCTCCCCTCTCGACTCTCTAACCCCCTCCTCCCTTCCCTACCCTCACCCTGACCATTTCCCCCCCTGCTCGGGTCCTGACCCAACTGTACAGCGCCTTGGGACGTCCTCCCGACGTGAAAGGCGCTCAATAAATGGAATCTTGTTGTTGTTGTTTATTTTGTTGGTGAAGGCTGAAGCTAAATTTGCACACAGCAAAGTCTCACAAACAGCCATGAAGTGAATGACCAATTTCATTGGAAGATTGTCGGCTGGAACACCACTGGCAGGTTTGCCCACAAAATGCACAGTTACTGCACATCACAGCAATAACCTGTTTGAGACACCTTGGCGAAGTGATAAGGCGCTAGATCAAACTGCAAGGATTATTATTACTGTTATCACAGTATTTGACAAACACAGAAATAAAGAGTGCTACTTTTGAAGATAAATAGTCCCTATTAAATTTGTGGGCAATTACTGTGCCCAAATTGGCTGTTGTGTTTGCCTACATAATACACAGCCACTACATTTTACAGTACAACCGGTGAAGCTGTTTGAGATCTTCCCCCTGACGTGAAAGGCGCGATATCAAATGTGATTATTATTATCATCATTCTCATAGAGCAAATACTTTTTAATATAAACATTTTAATTAGAGACAATATTTGCTTTCCGATACCGTATCGTTCCCATTTGCAGCGGAGCAGATCAGACTTGCTCGCGTGGGTAACGTACAGTATAATTGTACGCGGTATATTCTGTGGAGCCCTTTGAGACGGTTCGAAGACATGATAAGGCGCTATATCAAATGCAAGGATTATTATCATATCAAATGCAAGAATTATTATTGCATCAAATGCAAGGATTATTATTATTATTATTATTATTGCTGTTGCTCACTGTGGATTGCCATTCTGGTGCAGGGACAGGAGAGGGCGCTCTCTGGTTCTGTGCTCGGCCAGTGGGGGATGTGGAGACTCTTGGCCAACTGCTGCCCTTGTCGCTGGTCACAGTCCTGATCAGGAGCGAAGCGAAGAGGAGCGGCTGAGTCTGGTCTCTGTGCCACGTGGGTGACGGTGAGTTGCCAGTGAGTGGTCCAGAGGGGCGGCTTCCCTGGGGGTTGTGGAGAGCATCTGCCCCCCACTGTGTGTGTGTCTGTGTGTGTGTGGGGGGGGCGGTGTGTGTGTGGGGGGGGCGGTGTGGGTGGGGGGGGGCGGTGTGGGGGGGGGCGGTTGGGGGGGGGGGGGCGGTGGGGGGGGGGGGGGCGGTGGGGGGGGGCTGTGTGGGTGGGGGGGGGGGGCTGTGGGTGGGGGGGGGGCTGTGGGTGGGGGGGGGGGCTGTGGGTGGGGGGGGGGTTGTGTGGGGTGGGGGGGGTTGTGTGGGGGGGGGGCTGTGTGTGTGTGGGGGGGGGGGGGGGGCTGTGTGTGGGGGGGGGGGCTTGTGTGTGTGTGTGTGGGGGGGGGGGGGGGCTGTGTGTGGTGTGGGGGGGGGGGGCTGTGTGTGTGTGTGTGGGGGGGGGGGGGGTGGGGGGCTGTGTGTGGGGGGGGGGCTTTGTGTGTGTGTGTGTGTGGGGGGGGTTGTGTGTGTGTGGGGGGGGGTTGTGTGTGTGTGTGGGGGGGGGGGGAGTTGTGTGTGTGTGTTACAGGGTGACTTGACTGTCAGGATATTGGAAACATCATGTATTCAACCATCACTGTTTCAGCTAAATTCCAATCATTGCATTCCTCCCCCCTCCCAATTGGGGTGAACTTAATTTATATTTAATTTAAATGACACCTACTGGCAAAGATCACGGTGTGCATTTCCTGGCCATTTCTTTTCACTTATTAAATTGAAATTGAAATTAAATGTAGCACCGAGGCTCTGTGGCCCTGTAGCTGATAGAATCACATCTCACGGTGTCTGTCCTGTTCATTTTTTTTCCAAGCAAAATAAAACTACTTTTTTCCTAATAAAGAGGCGCGGGGGGGGTGGTGTGTCTGTGCGTGTCTGTCTCTGTGTCTTGTGTGTGTCTGTCTGTGTCTCTGCGTGTCTGTGACTGAGAGAATCTCTTTGAATAAATGTGTAGCTGGTTGTAACCATGTGAATCTGGTGCCTACATGTTCATACAGTGCAGTTCTGATTCTTCTACATCTCCCCCCCCCCCCCCCCCAATGTGACTGGTAACTGGTAACTATTAATGATTTGTTTAGTGTAACTGGTAACTTAATGTGATTGGTTTCCAATATGCCTATGATATTGCCCACGCGTGTTAATTATATATTTACATTAGGTTTGGAGTCCAGGGCTTCGGCTTATTTATTCTTCCCATAACTAACCCAATGGGAATGTTTCTAATGATGCATTTGTTCATCATTGAAGATATGCTGATGTCAGACCCCATTAAAAACACCATAACACAGAATAAGTGACTAAGGTGGAGCAATACACATTAATATTAGAACTTGTGGTTATTATTTCTGGCACCGAGACAGATAGTAGGTAAAGCTAGTGGGTATTACTGACCTTGGAAATCCTCCCCGTCTGGTCATCACTGATTCTCGTGGAGTAGTCGTGTTGAATGTTAATAACACCCATATACATCATGTGCTGTGAACAGAACTTATTCTCTTTCATTGCACTCTACAGGGCTCCACAATGAAAGAAGACGTTCAGCGGCTGCTTGTTCAATTCAAGGATGAGGCTGGAGAAATTCTTGGGACACCTTTTGATGTTCCGGTTGACATTACCACCGATAAACTACAGCTTGTTTGTAATGCTCTCTTGCCAAAGGTAAAAATAAATTACAAGTGCTGTAGTTGTATACTGTTGAATTTTAGGACCGTGACACTCAATAGACCAGTTCATTTGAGGTGACACGATGAATTTTACTTAATTCTTTTCCTTCTGGGAGCTGGTTTTGAGTGAAGCTCAGAAAGTGATGTGATGCTGTCATTTGGAAATGTCGGTTTAGACTACTGGTATCTTTCAGTGGCATTGTGTGATTCATCCCTGAGTCTCATTGAATTCCTGACCTTGGTTGCTCTGTCAGAGCGATGCAGAGCAGAGGTCAGTTGTGTCTTGGATTCATGCCTACCTGCACTTGCCCACATCCTTATGGTGTTCTGCAGGACCTGGGAGTGGGCCTGGATCCTGCCCTTGAGATGGGAGATGAAAAAACTATAGAATTGTAATGTTTTCCTCCTCCTGTAATGTGTTTTTCCAGGAGGACCCAGTGCCTTTGTCTTTCTATGTGAACGAAACAGAAATACTAACCTCACTGGAGAAGACCCTGGAAACGCAGCCAGTGGAAACTGAGAAGGTTTTGGACATCATTTATCAGCCACAGGCAGTGTTTCGTGTCCGAGCTGTGACACGCTGCACTAGTTCATTGGAGGGACACTCAGAGGCCGTTATTTCTGTGGCTTTCAGCCCCACGGGAAAGTAAGCCATTTTTTAGTTGGTTCCTACACTGATTTACTTCCACTTTAAATGGTCTTAACCCACTTGCTAACTGTCTGTTGGATTTATTCATCTTGACTTCAATTAAGCTGTTTATAAGCTTCCCTTTCTCAACCACTCGAGGTTTGCATTCACATGGCTTGCTATCGCCTAACTATTATTACTTGATTTTATCTTGCCTTCTGCCCTACTCATCTCAGCTTGGTGGTGTCCTTAATATTAATAATTATTAACTTATTAAATTATTAATAATTTTAAGAAAAAAAAACTTGGGGTGAAATTCCTCTGGTTGGTAAAGCTACTGCCAATGAATGCTCATGGTGGGTTATCTGTGCCCAACGCTCACTCGTGAACATTAAGTTCTTTGCTCATTACTGACATGTCTCTGACGTTGAAGGTATCTTGCGAGTGGATCAGGGGACACAACCGTGCGATTCTGGGATCTGTCAACAGAAACTCCACTATTCACAGCCAAAGGCAAGTTTTATTGAAACACGGTTCATTTTAGATTTCGACCCCATCTCTACACGGTATTTACTAATTGAGTGAGTAAGCAACTGGTGTGCTACCTGGATTCTTTATTTTGATTTATTTATTGCAGAAGATTACTTACTCTTTCAGATAGTTGAGAGCAGCACTGCTGATATTAAGTTGTAGAGTGTACATGGATCAGCTAATAACTGGAAAAGATGTATTCTCACTCTGAGCAACTGGGTTCAATTAAACTTGATGGAGCTCACTGTGCTCCTCTTCTGTTTGGCTTTAATTTAGAAGAAAGTTTCCAGTGAAGAATGTTGGTTTTACAGACACAGCTAAACAAAGGCAAGTGCAGTTGATGAAATGTTTCTGAAACCAGTTTAATTTCTTCCCTTTAGGGCATACGCATTGGGTACTAAGCATAGCCTGGTCTCCAGATGGGAAAAAGCTGGCGTCCGGTTGCAAAAATAGTCAGGTATTAAGTTAAATATTCTTGAAAGTCTTAACTACATTTAATTTTATCGCGGGTTGTCAGTATGTATGTTGATGTTGCGATATGCGTATTAGCTTCTCACTGGTCGGTCGGTCGGGAACTCGCCAAATGGGGAAGCGCTAATGTAAACAACAAATTACATTTGTATAGCGCCTTGCATGCTATATTTCTCTGGTATATTACCAGGCTAAGAGATTTTCTGAATCTGGCTGCTATATTTAAAACTTTTTGCAGATGCACAAATACAAGCCTGCTATTCAGAAAAAAGACCAAGGTCCATCTAGTTTGCCTTCCATCTTCCTGGAGGTCACATGCACATATGTCCCAAACTCCCTATGTACTATATCTCATAATGTTATTTTCCTAAAAGGAAATGATCTAATCTGTGTTCGAAAGAATCAACACTTCTTGCTTCAACCGTCTTCCGAGGGAGCCTGTTCCGAAGGTTCACTGTTCGCTCACTGAAATAGTGTGTCCATAGATTTGTTCTGAATTTATTCCCCCTCTGTCCTCTGGTTTTATTATTCTGGTTACTATTTACTATGTATGATTACGCATTCCTTTTTTTGGTTATAAAAATCAATCCATCTCAGGGTAATCCTGTGCGGTTGTACATGTGATTTCAGATATTCTTGTGGGACCCCAGCACAGGCACCCAGATCGGGAAAGCTCTAACAGGACACACCAAGTGGATCACGTATCTCTGTTGGGAACCTCTACACATGTGAGTAATTCATACAAGCCAGAGATTGGTGTCAAAATATAATTGTCCAGTCGCATTGTAGTTCATTTTAGAAACAAAACAGTACAAGTACAGATTACTCTGTTGTTAACGGCTAAACTTTGATGCTAGTTTATACAACAACAACAACAAGATTCCATTTATAGAGCGCCTTTCACGTCGGGAGGACGTCCCAAGGCGCTGTACAGTTGGGTCAGGACCCGAGCAGGGGGGGAAATGGTCAGGGTGAGGGGAGGGAAGGAGCGAGGAGGGGATAGAGAGTCGAGAGGGGAGCTGAAGGCTCGGTCAAAGAGAAAGGTCTTGAGACCGGCCTTGAAGGAGGAAGGGGAGGAAGCGGCGAAGGCACTGGGGGATGGAGTTCCAGAGCCTCGGGGCTGAGAGGCTGAAGGCCCGACCACCGATGGTAGGGCGGTTGGGGCGGGGGATGTGGAGCAGACCGGAGCCAGAGGAACGGGGGGTACGGGCAGGTAGGTAGGGGGATAGTAGGTCGGAGAGGTAGGAGGGAGCAAGGCCGTGAATGGCCTTGTAGGTGAGGATGAGGATCTTGAAATCGATCCTCTGGGGGATGGGGAGCCAGTGGAGGCGAGCGAGGGTGGGAGTGATGTGGTCGCGAAGCCTGGTGCGGGACAGTACACGAGCTGCAGAGTTCTGAATGACCTGCAGTGTGGAGGGAGGGCCGGGAAGGCCGACGAGGAGAGAGTTCCCATAGTCCAGCCTTGAGGTGATAAAGGCGTGGAAAGAGTTTCAGCCGCGTGAGGGGTGAGGTAGTGCCGTAGTCTGGCGATGTTCCGGAGGTGATGGAAGGCGGTGCCAGTTGTGGCGCGGATATGAGGGAGAAAGGACAGCTCAGGGTCGAACAGAACCCCGAGGTTCCTGATGGCTTTGAGAGGTGGAGAGTGCAGCCTTGGATGCTGATGCTGTCAGCGCCTGAGGTGCGGAGGCGCTGACGTGAGCCAATCAGGAGGGCCTCAGTTTTCCGCACGTTGAGCTGAAGAAAGTTGGTCTCTCGTCCAGGATTCGATGTCGGACAGGCAGCTGTCAGGACATCGGTGGTCGTGGAGTTGAGGATAGAGGAGGAAAGGTAGAGCTGGGTGTCATCCGCATACATGTGGAAGTTAACCCCATGTCTGCGGATGATGTCAACTCATAAGTGATAACCTGATAAATAATCAGGCAACATGACCGTTGAAATTTATTCCAACGTTATTGTATGTCAAACTCTATTTTTCGGGGAATAATTGATCTTTTTGGGCTAGAAGAGAAGGGAAGAAATTGGGGTTGTTCTTGTACCTCTGCTGATGCAATTCCGGGGTGGTGTTGCTGTGAGCCACATCTTTATTTCTCTCAATAGCTGCCAGCTGTTCTAAATGTTTTCAACTCCACGAAATGCAAAGAAAACTACATTGCGTTGACGAACTGTTCAAAATTTGGATTGCTTGAGATGCTGTGAATGATGGCAGGAGGTTATTAAGAAGTTTAGCGCCTTGGGACGACCTCCCGACGTGAAAGGCTCTATACAAATGTAATTCTGTATTTGTATTTTGTATTACCAGAAATCCACAGTGTCGGTACCTAGTCAGTGCGTCCAAGGACTGCAGTATCCGGATCTGGGATACCGTGCTGGGACGAATTGAAAAAATCCTCACTGGGCACACACAGTCTGTAACTTGTGTGAAGTGGGGGGGTGATGGTCTCATCTATTCCTCGTCACAAGACAGGACCATAAAAGTATGGAAGGCTGAAGATGTGAGTATCAGTTCATTTCTAAAGGCAGGTTCCTGGAGTGCCTGATGCCATGGATAGTGATTGGTGATTGTGTTGGCTGGACTCGCCACGCTCCTGTTAATGGTGACATTTTTTTTATTGCAACCTCCTGCTCTGTTGAATGCTTTCGAACAATCGACTGATACTGTAAGATTATAAAACTTAGGTAGGAGAGTTTGAAGCAAACTGGAAATGCAGGAGTCTTGCCCCCGCATAAGACTTTATGGATTAAACTTCACAAACAATCTGGAATAAGCAACAACTTGCATTTACACAGCGCCTCTCATGCAGGGTAGTGTCCCAGAGCACTTGACAGTGGCGGAGCATGATGTCAAGCCAGGGGGAGGAGGGTGTGAACAGGAAGGTCTTCAGGCGCAACCTGAAGGGGAAAGTAGGGACAAGGCAAGGGATAAAGGAGGAGTATTCCAGAGATTCAGGGCGTAGTGGCTGAAAGCGCGGCCACCAATGGTGGAATGGAGAGCATGGGGGACATGCAGAAGGGCGAAGGCAGTGGGTTATGGGTTGGGGGGTAAGCGGGTTGGAGAGGTAGGGAGGTGCCAGGGCATGAAGGTATTTGAAAACGAGTGTGAGGATCTTGAAATCGACCCATTCGGTGATGGGGAGCCAGTGGAGCTTGAACAAGCCAAGCACTTGTTCAATTGTAGATTAAAAAATGGTGTTCGAGGTAAATTTGAGATGGGTGTCGGACAATGTTTTACAATGGCTAATCAATTGTATTGCTGGCAGTTCAGACAAGCACAGGCTAGAAAAAGAAAAGGAACCGCTCAAATGTGGAGATATGGTGCCATGGGAGAACAATTTGGATATTCAGGGTATTCCAAAGAGTGGGAAAGTTCCTTAGCTAGCTTCAGGGTGGCTTTGTGCAGGCTTTGAGGGAAGAGAAGGAATAAAGAGCCATACACAAGGTGCTTTTCTACACATGTGCTGTAGATTTCATGCATAGCCTCTGAATTTGTAATTTAGTATTTATTAACCCCTTTTTTAAAAAAAAATTCTAATTCTGCATTCGTTCCAGGGAATTTTGTGTCGAACGCTGCAAGGCCATGCTCACTGGGTTAACACAATGGCACTCAGCACTGATTACGTATTGCGAACTGCAGCTTTTGAACCAGCTGAAGCTACGATTGTTCCCAAGGACAACAATGACCCATGTAGGTAACCTCAGCCTCGTTCGGATGTGGCTAATTCTGATCTGTCGACATGTCGTTTCCAGTTGGAAGCTGGTGACATTCTATGCTGGTGAAATTCAGCTACAGTGGGAACACAATATGTTTTAAAACCGCGAATGTGATGGTTGAGACCTGGTTTAGTATTCCATGAAGACTTGAGGGAGAGGAAATAAGAAAGGACAAAAATACAATATCTGACCACAGTACACAAGAGAAATCAGCTCAGAGTAGTAATAATAATTATCACATCTTCGAGACATCTCAAAGCAGGAGCCACAATTGCGTTATAGAGTAGTAGCTCTACTGCCTTAGCTTTTCATCGTACTTCACTAAGTGGATGTTCACTTGGCTCCACAAAGGAGCTGAGTAAGTGACGGCAATTTAAAAATAATTCAAGATCCGGGAAGTAACTGTCTGAGTAAGTACTTAGAAGTTAGGATTGTTACCGTGGAGTTTTGAGCACTTAGTTAGTACTCATGGGGGCAGTGGGAGAAGGTTTGATTTTCATCTCATTCTGCTGAATTCGCAATCTCAGACTTACTGCCACAGGGAAACCCTTGTGAAAGTCACGCATCTGTTCACAGGGTAAAAGTGGGGGAAGAGATACAGTAACAGGGGAAGAAGATTGTTTGACTGTCCTGGTTGCTAGATATGTTTAACTTAATAAGAGCTATACAAAGGGAAGATAGAGTATATTCATACCCTTCAGGAAGGAAGGAATATTTCAAACACATTGATAGGTAGCAGTGGATTATGAGGCTGTAATTCAATTGAGAAGTTCAGATACAGTAAACAGCAAGTTTGCATTCACTGAACCCCAAGAATGTATTCTATGTAGTTCTGATACACTTATTTTTACGTAGTATTACTAAAAATACTTCCAATGGAAAATAGTCATATTATTGCTCTGTGCGGGGCATAGATTCTGACAAGATGTTAGGCAGTGACATGGATCCTCACAAATGTAAAACAATATGAAATCTCTTCCCCCCCCACCCCCCACATACACAATAATCTCCTGCTCAGACCTGGAATGGCCTATTTTGTGAGTGACTCACATGTGATTTTCATTAATTATAATGATAATGCTTACATTTGATACAGCAGCTTTCATATCGGGAGGCTGTCTCAAAGCGCTTCACGGGATTTACTGTAAAGTGTAGTGACTGTGTGTTTTGTAATCTCTTTTAGGAGTAAAAGTATTACCCCATAAAACATACAAGATGCAGAGATTATGATTAAGAAAACTGGAAAATCAACAATGTGCACAAAGCATCTCCCCCATCGTTCTTTTGAACTTGTTTCTCACTTTAGGAGCACTGGATTCGGAGGTGTCATTTTGGGCAGGGAGTACCAGATCAGATGCATTGATGAAGCTACCAATGTCCTTCTTCATTGTTTAAATTTTTTTTTCTCTTTTTTAGTGGAAGAATTAAAGAAGAAAGCTTTGCAGAGATATGACCAAGTACGGGTAAGGTTACCACATGATAAAAGTCATCGTGAGCAGAGGCATTTATATTCATTTATTAACCTTGGTGATTGTAGGGTGACGTTGAAATACACTCGCAGCGAATAGCTGTGAAATGAAGACATCCAGCCTGGAGCGTGGTCTTGATTAGTTATTCCACACACGACGTTAGGTCGTTATCAACTTTGCTTTGGGAGGGGGAGTGATTAAATGTCACAATGAAGGAGAGACAAAGGAATGGGTCAACACTGAACACTTTTGCACACTAAGTAGCAGGGGCTTGGGGGCTGCTTCTACTTGTCCCCTTTAAAGGGTGCGGGGAGTGCAAAGAGTCCTGCTCCGTGGAACCCATCCCCACTCCACTCCTTATCTCCCTCCACCTCCTTGCCCCACTTCTCACAGACACCATTAACCTGTCCCTCTCCTCTGGCTCTGTTCCCATAAACAAAATATTTGAAGGTGGCAGGACAAGTTGACAAAGCTGTTAAAAATACATATGGGATCCTTGTTCGCTTTGTAAATAGAGGCATTGAGTTATGTTGAACCTTTACAAATTGCTGGCTAAGCCTTAGCTGGAGTATTGTGTCGAATTCTGGGCACCACACTTTTGGAAGGATGTCAGGGCCTTGGAGAGGGTGCAGAGAAGATTTATAAGAATGATACCAACGATGAAGGACTATAGCGGTGGAGTCCTGTAGCTCAGTGGTTAGAGCACTCGCCTTGCAAGTGAGAGACCTGAGTTCAATTCCAGGCAGAGGGCGAAACCTTGGGCAAGTTTCCTTACTCCACACAGAGCTTAATAATAATCCCTCAAAAAAAACAAAAAACAATAATAAATTGGTCATTTTCAATGCATGACTGTTTGTGGGACACTGCTGTGCGCAATTGGCTGCCGCGTTTGCCCACAAATATACAGTCAATTGACTTTACAGTATATTCTGTGAAACGCTTTGGAAGCGCTTTTCACGTCTAGAAGACGTGAAAAGCGCTATATCAAATGCAAGGATTATTATTATTATAATTATGTGGAGACCAGAGAGGCTGGGATTAATTGATTGATGGAAAGCGCTATATCAAATGCAAGGATTATTATTATAATTATGTGGAGAGACCAGAGAGGCTGGGATTATTCTCCTTAGAGCAGAGAAGGTTATGGGGATATTTAATAGATGTGTTCAAAATTATGAGGGTTTGATAAGAGTAGATAGGGAGAAACTGTTTCCTTTTGTAGGTGGGTCGGTAACCAGAGGACACAGATTTAAAATAATTGGCAAAAGAACCAGAGGGGAGATGAGGATAAATATTTTTAACCCAGAGTTATTACGGTCTGGAATGCACTGCCTGAAAGGGTGGTGGAAGCAGATTCGAAAATAGCTTTCAAAAGGGAATTGGATAGATACTTAAAAAGGACGAATTTGCAGGGCTATGGGGTAAGAGCGGGGGAGTGGGACTAGTTGGTACCTTTCAAAGAGCGGGCTGAATGGCCTCCTTCTGTGCTGCAAAATTCTATGATTTTAAGAATGAGGAAATAAAGCTAACCATAGAAGGAATGTTAAATTCCATATTCGATCTAACCATTTGCTATGGATATCTGCATTTGTACATGCATCCTATTGACTTTTTATGCCTTTTTTTTTCAGGGTGAGGGAGCAGAGAGACTAGTGTCAGGGTCAGATGACTTCACCCTTTTTCTCTGGACACCTGCAGAGAATAAGAAACCTCTCGCACGTATGACAGGTCATCAAGCTCTGATAAACGAAGTCTGCTTCTCCCCTGACACCAGGCTCATCGCCAGTGCATCGTTCGACAAATCGGTGAAACTCTGGGATGGCAGATCTGGAAAGTAAGGATGCCAATGACCTTCCAAATGTGTCTGGCTAGACGTTGGCTGGATAGCAACGTTACCAAAGGCTTGTAGTGAGAATGGGAGCAAGTCCGCCCGCCTGGGTTGGCTGCAGCAGGAATACAGCAAATCAAATGCAACTCGGCTGTATTTTTAAAAAAAAAACTTTTTGAAAGCTGCAACTGCTTAACATCTGATTAAATCTAGAACTGCCGACAAAATCATTCTTTCTTGATTGAATAATTCTTGATTTATGGCCACACCATAAATATCACTACTCAGTATCCAACTGAAAACGATATTGAGTTAACGTACATTTACCTAGATTAGTGCCAATGTTCGGCGGGCCACTTCTTGACGCCAATGTAGGGCACTTTTGGTCCGTGGACCATGGGTTGGCCACCACTTATCTGGACCTATCAGCAGAAATTTTAATTCCAGACAGATATCCATCTATTTTTACTGTGGTCCCAAAGAGATCAGTGGCGCTGTCGAGAGAAGCTGTGAGTTGTGAAGTTGTTTGGTCATGTTTTACAGTTCGCTCTGCTTTCATTACATCCAGGCTCGACTATGCAAACTCCCTGCTTGTCGGCCTCCCCAACTCCTCCCTCCACAGGCTGCTGATCATCCAGAACTCTGCAGCCCATGTCCTCTCCCGCACTCGGCTCCGTGACCCTATCACCCCCATCCTTGCCCAACTCCACTGGCTTCCCATCACACAGAGATCCTGGTCCTCACCTTCAAAGCCCTCCATGGTCTTGCTCCCCCCTACCTCTGCGACCTCCTAACCCCCTACCATCCTGCTTGTTCCTTCCGCTCACCCAGCTCTGGCCTGCTTTACATCCCCCGCCTCACTTGCCCCACTATTGGCAGGCAGGCCTTTCGCCACTCTTCCCCCGCTCTGGAACTCCACCTCGCCCTCTCCCGTGCCACCTTCAAGACTCATCTCAAGATCCTCTTCTTCAACGATGCTTTCGATCTCCCGGCTTCCCTCCCCCTGCCCTCTACCCTCCCCAATCCCCAGCTCGGGTCTGAAACTCTGGCTGTCCAGCGCCTTGGGACAGCCTCCCGACGTGAAAGGCGCTTTACAAATGTAATTTTGTTTGTGTTTGTATTTTGCTTTGGTCTGAATTCAACCCTTTTCCATTGGATGAGAGTCTCTACTCTGCTGCCTGCAGGGCTTTCTGGTTGGCACAGGCCCCTTTGCACAAAAACTCCTGTAAATTCAACATAAAATTGGCTATCTTGCTCAGAGAGGCTTTTAGGATGACTAGTGAAGAAAAGTGAACATGAATCCTGTGCAAAGTGATTAGGTTAAGACACAATGTTGGTAAAGAAGAGATTTTGCAGTTGTCTGAAATCAATATAACTGGCCCATGTGGGGTGCTCGAAGTGTGAAATGTTCCCAGTTTCCCAGTAATGAAGTCTCTCAATCCATGACTGTTTGTAGGACCCTGCTGTGTGCAATTGACTGCCACGTTTGGCCCACAAAACATACACTTTACAGTAAATTCTGTGAAGTGCTTTGAGATGCCTCGAAGACATGATATGGCGCTATATCAAAATGCAAGGAATTATTATTATTGAGCACAAAATGTTCATCTCTCACCTTCTAATTTCTAGATTCCTGGCTTCTCTGAGAGGCCACGTGTCGGCTGTGTACCAGATTGCGTGGTCAGCCGATAGTCGGCTTCTGGTGAGCGGGAGCAGTGATAGCACCCTGAAGGTCTGGGATGTGAAGATGCAGAAACTGTTCTTCGATCTTCCGGGTCACGCAGATGAGGTAAATGGCCCTTGATTTATTAAGCGTTTTTGCTGTGAGCAAGGGATGAGACTTCTCATTAAACAAAAATATTAAATAGACTTAAAACCTCTTGAAAAGACAAGGTTCATCCTTGGACTTGGCCAACAATCCCTGAATAATACTGATCACTCACTCCATGGCTGTTTGTGGGACACTGGTTTGCGCAAATTGACTGCATGTTCACCCATAAAGTACATACTTTACAGTATATTCCGTGACTTGCTTTGAGACGTCTTCATGATGTGATATAGTACTATATGTTTGTAGGATGGTCCACGACTGATCTTGCATGAACTTTAAAAATTGTTGTCATTGCTGCTTTGTCAGTTTGTCATTTGAACCTCACCATTATAGACTTGATGTGCAATACGCAATAAAAATTCTTGGGAATATTACATATCAGGAAATTTTAATCAACCCATATAGCACTTATTTATCCAAAAGCACAGCACTTAAATATCGGGTACAATTTATACGTAGCTGCAGTGAGACAGCATTAGAATGCACCCCAGTATACCATGGGAACGCCAAGAGCATGTTTGCTCTGTCGACTACTCGTGGTACACTTGCAGTACCACCTGCAATAACCTTCTGGCTTGCAGCACTGGCTGGTTTCCTGCATAGTGTGCATGTAGGAAATGACATCAGTGGCAACCTGATAAATCTGGAAGCGTTGATTGGCTATCATTTTTTTTAGCACCCTTCATTGTAACAGTGCAGTGGTGTCTGGCTTTATGGATGCAAACCACTGCATTATAATAGGGTCTGATTACATTCCAGAATGCACTGCACTTGTCCTAAGGACAATTGAAACACTTACATTTCACTGACACATTCACCTGTTCATAGCTCAGAACTGCAGCTCATGACTGTAGGTCCAACTGGATGTTTCACAAGCTGACATCTTCCTGGTTTGCACCTTCAGGTATACGCAGTGGATTGGAGTCCTGATGGGCAGAGAGTAGCGAGTGGAGGAAAAGACAAAGTGTTGAGAATGTAAGTATGGAGATAAGCAATCCATATATTGGAAAATTTCCAGGAACAGGCAAGTAATGTGCCTGCAGTGATAATTTGCTTTGAACCTCACTGTATCTTACATCTCTAATAAGCATTAAGGTCTACCAGTTATCTATTTACTATGGATATGCGAAAGCAGTATATTAACATTTAATCTGAAAATTAATCAATTATTTACTCTGCTGAGCACCATTTGGTTTAGTACCATGTTGTATATACCAGAAACTAACAGGTTTATTTCCTGTTGTGTGTTGATGGATTACAAAGACTTACAGCCTCTGAGCTGGGAGCAGGAGGGGTGTGTGTGTGTGTGTGGATGGTGGATGAGGAATCCATTAGTTCCTTCTCCAGATTACTATCCAGTCATTTCTCGTAAATAATGTGTGCAGGTAAAGATGTTAAAAACTGTGATTTGCCAGCTCTCATCTAGCTTGCACATGAAGATTAACCACATGAGCAAGATCTGGTGGCTTTGTGGGTGTGTTTCCCCCCCTGAAAGTGTCAGTGCCTTCAGGATGGTAGCAGGGGCAGAAAATTAGCAACAATTTACTTTTCGTACCATCTTTGGTGACGAGAAATACCTTTTAATCCATCAATCAATTAATTTTTTTTAAAAAGGTCTGTCTCCTGGTCTCATGCGGCTTGTGAATCCACCCTCACGTGGCAAACACAACATTCACTTAAAACAAATAGATAAGATTGTTTTAACTGAAGGAATCACCGACAAAATATCAATAATAGCATAATCTGGCAGCAGTATATTTAGGCATAATGTTAAAAATTATTCTACTGCTTTACTAAGTGAATGATTGGAGTAGGTGACTTATCTCGGTCACATTCTGTCATAGTGACTTCCAGCAATGTCAGGAAATCCAAAGGTTTGTAAATGTGTATGATTGGAATGGACTTTCAGTTTGAGCATTTGCTGAGCAGCACCTTTTCCTTGTATTTTACAGATGGAGACGATAATAGCACAGTAAATCCTCCATTTGGAAGAAAGCTTATTTTTACTTGGAAAATCACCATCCACACACTGCAAAATGAGTTCCCTTCAGTAAAAGAAAACCCACAATAATGTACAGCAGTGATGAGTCCAGAGCAGGATAACTTCCTCATTGTAAAATGTATTGTGTGTAAAAATATTGTAAATTGCAGGACAGATGGATTAGATTATTGAATGATGCAATTTATGTTCTTTTTTTTAAAAAAATACAAAGAGGTCACTTTACAAAAGTGTGAGCAACCTTCCAGATTCACGTGTCTATAGTAAGGACGCAATTTTATTTTGAAAAATGAAATTTCCCTTTTCTCTCTTTGTGTCTGTGTTATCCTTACTGCTGGCAGTGCTGGAGGAACACTGCATTGTCAGCCGTCTTTTGCACGAAGCATTAAACTAAGGCCTTGTCAGTCTGTTGAGGTAGTTGCTAAAGGTCCTGTGGTACCATTTGAAGAGGAGGGAGTATCTCACAATGTCTCGACCACAAAAATCCTCCAGGTGTACATTGATCATTCACTTAATGTCTGTTTGTGGACAATGCTGTGCGCAAATTTGCTGATGTGTCTGCCTAAATAACATAATCTGTAATCAAGCCCCATCACTTCCAGGTCTGGGATGAATTTGAGACAGTAAAGCTTCCTATTGGACTGTTGAGTGGTCATTGTTCTGATGTAGGATTTGAACCCACAACCTTCTGACTCAGGCAAGAGTGCTACAGGATCAATCACACCTTTTATGGATTAATTACGTGGAATGCTCATTGCCTCCTCAATGTAGCTGATATGTAGAATGTGTAAATGCATCTAGGAGACATTCATTCACTATTGGCAAAGTAGTTGACCTTTCTACTTAAGAGTTTGCAAGATGATCCAACTCTTCACTTGCGATGCAATTCTCCACAACATTTGAACTCGTTTTTAAAAGTAGGTTTATTTGAACATTAAAAATAAAACAGATTTACACAGTGATGAATTTCAAAATGCCATCCAAGCAGGATATTGTTAATGTCTAAAAACAATCACAGATTGAAGAAGTGTAAATGAGACAATTTTCCTTTGACTCAACGCTTTGTTAAGATGTCATCCTTGCATTTGATATAGCATCCTTTCATGTCAGGACGATACCCTACAAGTGGAAATATTACAGTAAAGTGTAGTGACTTATTTTGGTAGGATCATGGTTATTTTTAAAATATAGATTTTAAAAATAAAAATTCTGTCAAAGAATCCTTTAAAATTTACAAACATTCAAGGTGGGTGGTGGGCGTAGAAATGCTTTAATTCTGCTTAGAGGTGCACCCATAGAACCATAGACATTTACAGCACGGAAAAAGGCCATTCGACCGATCGTGTCTGGCCCTTAAGAGCAATCCTTTCAGTCCCATTTAAACTGCCTTTTCCCCATTTAAGCACTCTGAGCAAATTGTTATTTTATCCATGTAATTCATTCTTTTAAGTATGTTTAATTCCCTCTTCAAGGCCAATGTGGATTCTGCCTCAACTACCGCTCCTGGCATGGCAGTCCATATCCTAACCATTCTGTGTGAAAAAAAATTCTCACCTCTCCATTTGCTAATTATCTTAAATTGATGCCCTCTGGTCACTGACCCACAGACCAGAGGAAATCATTTCTCCCCATTGACTTAACCAAACCCCTCCTCATTTTATAAAGACCCCTTATCAGGTCAACCTTCTTTGAATGCAACTATTTATCACCTCAAGGCTGGACTACGGGAACTCTCTCCTCGTCGGCCTTCCCAGCACCTCCCTCCACAAGCTGCAGGTCATTCAGAACTCGTTCACGGCCTCGCTCCCTCCTACTTCTCCGACCTACTATCCCCCTACTTACCTGCCCGTACCCTCCGTTCCTCTGGCTCCGGTCTGCTCCACATCCCCCGCCCCAACCTCTCTACCATCGGTGGACGGGCTTTCAGCCTCTCAGCCCTGAGGCTCTGAAACTCTATCCCCCAGTGCCTTCGCCTTCCTTCCTCCCTTTCCTCCTTCAAGACCTTTCTCTTCAACCGTGCCTTCACCTCCCCTCTCGACTCTCTACCCCCTCCTTGCTCCCTCCCTCCCCCTGACCATTTCCCCCATGCTCGGGTCCTGACCCAACTGTACAGCGCCTTGGGATGTCCTCCCGACATGAAAGGCGCTCTATAAATGCAATCTTGTTATTGTATGACTGTACCTTCAGTCACCTTCCCACAACGCTCGAATCACAACTTCCAGCTTGGATGCAAAACCCTCCACTGTCTAGCATCTTTGGATGTCCTCTCGTCTTGAAAGGTGCTGGAGGTTCAAACATAAGCTGTGAGTTGCACAGGGGGGTAATTTAGGGCGGTGCAATTGTACATGGTTCCCAAATAAGGCAGGGGCCCCGATATAGTGATAAGGATTTCAGATTTTCCTAGTCTGAGGTAAATTGATTGTGATATGGTTTCATATGGTTGTTAGCTGATTGCTGGCTCGCTTTTCCGGGGTTAATAATTGCTTAAAAAAATTATAATAATAATTTGGACACTTCAATCCATGACAGTTTGTCGGACACTGCTGTGAGCAACTGGCTGCCTCATTTCACCCACAAAACAGTCACTCCACCTTACAGTATATTCTGTATTCGCCTCGCAAGCGAGAACACCTGGGTTCAATTCCCGGCAGGGCGAAACATTAACCAAATTTCCTTACTCCACACGCCTTAGTTTACCTAGCAGTAAGTAGGAACCCGGTTGGTAGTGAACTAGCAGATCGCTTTTCCGCAGGTAATAATTCAAAAAAAAAATGGTCACTTCACTCCACGGCTGTTTGTGGGGACACTGCTGCGCGCAATTGGCTGTCGCGTTTTGTCCACAAAACAATAAGATTACATTTGTATAGCGCCTTTCACGTTGGGAGGACGTCCCAAGGCGCTGGACAGTGTACATCATTTCAGACCTGAGCTGGGGTCACAGTTGGGAGAAGGGAGGGGAAGGGAGGTGGCCGATGGCATGGTTGAAGAGGAGGGTCTTGAGGCTGGACCTGAAGGAGGCTGAGGAGGGGGTGAGGCAGAGTGATTGGGAGATGGAATTCCAGAGGTTGGGGGCAGAGTGGCTGAAGGCCAATGGTGGGGTGGGTGGGTCGGGGGATGTGGAGCAGCCAGAGCCGGCTGAGCGGAGGAAACGGGCCGGTTGGTAGGGGGTTAGGAGGTCACAGAGGTAGGGTGGGGCGAGGCCATGGAGGGCTTTGTATGTGAGGACCAGGATCTTGAACTGGATCCTCTGAAGGACAGAGAGCCGATGGAGTCGGGCGAGAGTGGGGGAGATGAGGTCACGGAGTTTGGTGCGGGAGAGGACATGGGCTCCAGGGTTCTGGCTTATCTGCAGCTGTGGAGGGAGGAGTTGGGAAGGCCGACAAGCAGGGAGTTTGCATAGTCGAGCCTGGAGGTGATGAAGGCAAGAGTTTCAGTGGCCTGAGGGATGAGGTAGTGGCGGAGTCGGAGTTATGGAGGTGAGGGAAGGCAGAGCGGGTCATGGCTTGGATGTGGGGGAGAAAAGACAGTGGAGGGTCGAACAAGACACCCGGGTTCCTGACTGGCTGGTGAGTTGTAGTGTGCAACCATGGAGGTTGATGCTGCCAGAGCCTGAGGTGCTGAGGCGTTGGCGCGAGCCCATCAGGAGCTGTAGGCAATTTGCCCTCATCCGGGACTCGATGTCCGGGACAGGCAGTCACTGCACACAGTCACTACACTTTACAGTATATTCTGTGAAGCGCTTTGAGAGAGACGTCTCGAAGACGTGATGAACGCAAGCAAGGATCGTTATCATCACCATCACCATCACGACTTTTCGGTCACCCTGTCCGTGTATGTAATGCGTGGTTGTTGTTGCATCATTCGGGAGAGCCATCCTTACCTCCCCCATCACACACACACACACACACACACCCCATGGAGGAAGCAGGTGTGCGGGTTCGAAGCTGTCCCCAACCTCCCCAAAGCCCTGGGGTTTTTTTTTATTTATATCTATAAATAATATATATTTTTAAAAAAACTTATATAAGGGACGGAAATGATGCACCAGGTGGGGAACGTCACACACACACACACACACACCCACCGACCGTCCGTCTGTCTCTTTTTTTTTAAAAATAACAACTCCCGCTCCGGGCTGACGGCGGAGGGCGAGTCAACTGTACACCTTCTCTAATCATTATAAACGGTCTGCGAGAAGGGAGCAGCTGCCGTGGCCCCTCTTTCGCCCCCTTTCACCTCACTCACCGGCTCAAAACGCCCCGATGTCGCCCGCTCGCCGATGATGATGATGAGGAGGAGGAGGAGGATCAGCCGCCGTTTGGCGGACGAGGGTCTCCTTTGAGCGGCGGCGGAGGAGGACGGACGGACGGTGGCGGTGAGTGCGGCGTCTCGAGCTCCACATAAACAAACCAGGCGGGCGGAGTGATACAATATTTTGAATTTACAAGTGAAGATGGTAAGGGGGGGTGGATTTTAAAAAAAAACGTTTAACAGTTAACGTGTCAAGCGACAGCGTCGCTGCCAATCGACTGCCCGCCGGTACATTAGCCCGAACGGTGACAGAAAGGGCGACCGAAACTCATCCCAGAGCCGGTTAGGGGGAGGGCGAAAGGAGCGCACTCTTTGGCCGGGCGGTGGGGGGCGGGGGGGAAAGCGGATGGAGACGGCGAAGAAGAAGCGGAGAGAGAGGGCGGGTGCGCTGCGGCGCTATAAAAAGAGCGACGCGTCCGCTCGCTTGTTGTCATCGGTTTGTCAACGGTTCGGGTCGGGGCGCCGCGCGCGTGAAAGGCCATCAGCTGCTGTCATCATGACAAAAGAAACCATAATAAACTGCCGCATCATGTCCCATAAGTGAACAACCACCCTGTGCCCGAAACGCCTCCTCGTCGTCGTCGTCGATATCATTTACCAATTATTATCACCACTATGCTTGTGTGTTTGTTTGTTTTTTTCAAAAAAAAGTTTATCCCCGAAAAGCATGAACAAGGATAAAGCGTCCGTGGAATGGGATTATGGTGGGAGCGCTGCTGGTGCCGCCGCCACCACCACCACCACCGCCACTGCTGCTGCTGCTTCTTCATCATCTTCTGTTCCTTGTTCTTCTTCACCATCATCATCATCTTCATCATCTTCAGAACTGGTGCTAATCATCGGGAAAGTCGGGGTTTGCTACGTGAACGCGCTGACGAGCGACGAGGAAGGAGCCACCCGGGCAGCGTCGACCTCCGCTTCTCCAGCCGTTACTTTAGTTTCGCCGTTTCTCTCCTCTTAGCCCCTCTCCGCGCCGCCGCCGCCGCCTGTTATGGAGGTAGTGGGCGACTTCGAGTACAACAGGAAGGATCTGATCGGGCACGGGGCGTTTGCTGTGGTCTTTAAAGGCCGTCACAGGAAGGTAATTTTGAAGGAGGGGGAGGGTGGGAGGCGCTGCGGTGTTTTTTTTTCTCTTTCCCCCCCCCCAAAAAAAAAGCCCTTTTGTAAAGGTCTCGGTTTTCTGGTGTGTTGTGTGTGTGTGTGTGTTTGTTTGTGTTTGTCTGTACAGGAAAAAAATACCACAGGTCCACAACGAGACCGAACTCTGCAAATTATTCTTACGATTCTTACTCCTCCCCCCACACCCACCCCCCCCCCACCCACCCACCTTAGTTACAGTCGTCTATTTTTTTTAAATCGAAAAAAAAACAAAACAAATGTGGTTATGAAGTTGGGTTTTCTTTTAAAATTAAAAAATAAATAAAATCTTACATAAACGCCACCTGGCCAACCCCCCCCTCCTCCCCCCCCCCCCCCCCCTCAAAACAAAGTGTCGTCAATGTGGTTTTACTTGCTCGAAGGGGATAACTGTGGGAGAGTATGTGCGCGAGTGTGTGTGTGTGTGTGTGTGTCTGATGTCTTGTCTTTGTCGATGTTTGCTTTTGCTTATCATCCGCGGTTATTTTGATTATTTTGGTAACGTGTTGGTTGTGCAATTCGCCTTCTCGCTGCGGTTATCTGTCGCTGTGAGTGGTGCAATCTGTCTGTCTTGTGTGTGTGTGTAATCGACGTCCAATTTCTACACAAGAGTTGAAGCATCAAAACTTCCTCCTCTTAACCCGTACCCCTTCCCTTCCTTCTCCACTCTGTCCAAATGATTTATATATATATGTATGTACTGTACACTGTTTCCTGTAGATTTCCGTGACAGTATCGTGGAGGATCCAGATTTATTTTGGATTTCTCAAATTACTCTTTATGAAGGGATGGAGGCACCTCGGAATTAATCGACGGTCTCCGGGTCATCTATAAGTTGCCTGACCTAGTTTATAGTTTGACGCGGTGCGTTTGAGATTATGAAAATCTTAACGAAAAATTTGTGGCAGCTTATTTCACTTGTTCCATATTTCCTGCTCACCCCCCCCCCTTTATGGAAATAAGCATGGGAGCAGGTTTGAATGCTGGGATATGTTTGTGCGTTTGTTAATAGCAATGAATTTCCTATTTTGAAAAGCTTTTTAGATACATTTCTTTGTCGATGCATTGCAATAATGCTGGTTGTAAAATCAGGAGCAACGTAGCAATTTTTTAACACAATAACAATAATCTGACAATAAATGTAAAACTTTGCTCAGAATTTTCAATAATATTAACTTGCAGTACAGTACCATGGTGTACTGCCAACAGCTGAAATCGCACCAGGTTGAGGACAAGTCCTCACTGCGAGGTCTCAAGTAACAATGCTCCTGATTATGTCAAACCTGCCTGGCTTTGCCCAACTCTAGGAAGAAGCTGTATCTTTCCTCCCACCACTAACGATACGTTTAGACACTATACTGCAATAATTCTTTCAACCTCTAAAGGTTGAAGGGTGCAGTGGATCCAGCAGGATGAAACCACAATACAAGTGCAGTGGAGGTGAAGGAGATTTTGGAAGCATAAATCATAGTTGTTTGTTCGAAATCTCTCCCCAAGCAATCATAAGCTCATTGGAGCACTAAAAATACAGGTTCAACACTTTCCATTCAACTATGATCTCAGTTGTGTTGTGGTGGAAAGGCAGCAAACAGAAGCAAGATGCTGCTCTCTATGGGAGGAAAGTGTGAGAGAGGAATCATTCACGGTTGCTGTCATGTGACAACTAATGAAGGATTAGAATGGTATTGGCAGAGATCTTACCCACAGATGGTGTTTATCTTGGGAGTAAAATATAAGGATTCATACTTTACTTTTTAAAAAAGAAAGACATTTCTGCTCAAAATTAATTTGCTTGTGTAACTCAACTGTTCTGAAAAGGATTTGTGTTAGGAATAAGCTGAGCTCTGCTTTAGGATATGCGTGGGAGAAATATTGATTTATGCAGGTGGTGTAAAAACTGGGTCAGAAGTAATAAGTAATTTAACTGCTATTTTGGTCACCCAAGGCAACAGTGTCTTTTTGGAATACTGATCATAAATGCTATTTAGATGCTACTAGTTGATTGACTTGTAACCATTCCCAAGAAAAAATATCCATTGAATACTGTGTAAAAGGTCTGATGGGAGTGAGATTTCAGATGGGGAAGACAGATTTGTTTTGGGAAAATATCAATTTCAATTCAATTCTAAGATGAGATGTTTCTTTACACTCAGTTTGAAAATGCAGTAAATCATTTTGATTTTCCTTCAAGTGATGTGCTTTTCTAAAGTAGATCAGTTTTAAAGATGCTAATATTTTGCCAAATTACATCAAAAGAATGCAATATGTGTACCTGGCCACTGCTCTTCAGTACTGGATTTCTACCATAAATATACAAAGGTTAACTGCATCATTACACAAAACCTTGTTTTAATGATGCCAATGTATGTTAGAACCTGTATTCTATACAGATATACAAAAAACTTGTAAACGTCTTATCAGTTGGTACCATAACATTTAATATGACTTATGCAAACTATGAGTTATGGCAAACCTGCATAAGTCATATCACATATGACATTGTAAAGTTGTGTACAAGTCAGATTTTATGACTATCACATAACAAATACACAAGTACTGTACTGGCTGGTGACGTTAAGGCAAGGTTTATGTACCATGTTTAACCCATGCATATTAAAACTATGGTAGCCCATTCTTTCCATATACATTACTGCATAGTACTGTACCTCATGTGCAGAAAATGTACCGTACGCGATAACGTTGATATTACACCCCCAGGAGGGAGGGTTGCGGAGAACGTACCTACCTATATCAACAACAACAAACAACAAATTATATTTGTATAGTGTCTTTCAGGTTGGGAGGACGCCCCAAGGTGCTGGATAGTCAGGGATTTGGACCCGAACAGGGGTTGGGATCAGGGGGGTGGGGTGGAGGGTGCCTGAAGTCGTGGTCGAAGAGGAGGTTGGGACGTGTCTTGACGGAGCAAGGCGAAGGGACTGTGGAATGGAGTTCCAAAAGGTAGGGTTAGGGAGGCTGAAGGCCCAACAACAACAAGATTACATTTGTATAGCGTCTTTCACGTTGAGAGGATGTCCCAAGACGCTGGACAGCGTACAGCATTTCAGACCCGAGCTAGGGTCAGTGGGGGAAGGGGAGGGGAAGGGAGGTGACCGATGGCATGGTCGAAGAGGAGGGACTTGAAGGAGGCTAAGGAAGGGGTGAGGCGAAGTGACTGGAGGATGGAATTCCAGACGTTGGGGGCAGAGTGGCTGAAGGCTCTCCCACCAATCGTGGGGCGGGCCGAGTGCGGGACATGCAGCAGGCGGAGGCCTGCTGAGCGGAGGCTCCGGTCTGCTCCACGTCCTGTATGCATAGCATTAAGAAAGAAAAGTAAAAGTTGGGGGTTAGAGAAAAGAGAAGTTAACCTCGACTGATGTTGTACACCTTTGGAATAACCTCTTAGTGATATAGGAAAATCTTACATTGGTTAGAAAGTTCGTTGGAGAAGAGGAATTTTATTTTATCAGGCCTCCACACCAGATGATAATGTAGTCAATCTATCATTTGTCCATTCGTTAAGCTATAGAGTGAATTTTGTAGTGGATATTCTGATACTTTATTGTTTCTTTTTGTTTTCTTTGACCTGAAAAATGTACTGTAGTTTACTTTTGTTCATACAACTCATAATCTCTGGCCCGTACGTTGCTCACAAACTCACCATATATGTTTTCAGCTTTTCAAAAATAAATTGCCTGTTGTACTTCACTTCTGGTTTTATTGTTGTTATGTGCAATTCTTATATATTGAACCTGTGTCCAAAACATACTGTTTAACGTAAAAAGAGGAGCTGCAGCCTACAATACACATCGCACTGTATTTAGACCTGTGTTTTTCTGGGAAATTATTGCTTTGTCTTTTACATTTTGCCCACAAAATATATGGCCACTCCTCTTTACAGTGAATTCTGTGAAGTGTTTTTGAGACGTCATCCTGACGTGAAAGATGCTATACCAAACACAGATTATTATTATTACATTTAAATTTGGCCTGTCTAAATTTCTGTATAATGTATTCTTTTACTGCCTTTGACAGTGTTGTTTTAATGACTAATGATGGGAGGAGTTGTTTTTGTGCTATTAAACCAGCAGCCTTCAGAAAGATGTCTTTCTAAGTTTTTAATTGAAATGGTGAGTCTGAGGAGAACCTTTTGTTGGGGAAAGTGCTGAACTAAGTTCTAGGAAAGAACTTCCAGGAAGGAGTGTGTGTTTTTTTAAAAAAAGGAAAGAGTTTTTCAACCAGTGTTCTGCCTCAACTAGCTTTTCTGAAAAACCATTCCAGCTGTCGATTACTCTGTGTTTAAAAAAAATGTAGTATCTGGCCTAAACTTTCCCTTCCTAATCAATATGCTAGGAAACACGGGTCTAATCATATATTTTATTGGAGGTTGCAGCTGCTCTTCTTACAACCCTAAATGACATGTTTTAGACATGTGTTAAAATGTTGTAAAATTGCACAATATATTCACATAACCAGCAGTAGAGTGCTGCTGACAATTTCTTTCGGAAAAACCCTGACAATATGGAGGGCACTGACCTGATGTAACTGGAGAAATTTCTCTCTGGGTTTACTTTCTCTACTCCATTAAACATTGTGTATACCTTTTGTAAAGTCTTTGCTAGCAAGATTCTTTTGAAGCTGTATTTTATCTAGTTTGTCTTAGCTGGTATATGGAAATACTGGGGAACAGTCATATTGCTGTCCTCTGCATGCTTGTCGAAACACCTGGATGTTTCTTGCATGTGATATATCGTCTTATCATGTCTTTGAAATGTCTCATAGCGCTTCACAGAATATACTGTAAAGTGGATTGGCTGCATATTTTGTGGGTGAAATGTTCCTCTGAGAGTGACTGGGAAGTGTACACATTATTATGTCCAGTGCACCATACTGCTTCAACATAACCTCTGTGGATTTGACCTTAAATTGATTTTACAATATGGTCCAACATTGTATTCTTCGTTTATTGCTGCATCATATAGTTGGGTCATATTAAATGACATGTCCATACCATTAAGTAACTTTCAATTTCACACTTATCAAGTTCTGCTCAATCAGTGGGCTGTGAGATCTATTCTTTAACTTTTAGCACACACTAGTATTTCATCATAAAACATATGCAGGTCTCTTCCCCACAGATATGTTAACTTAATTTCTAATTTTAAATTACAAACTGCACCACTTCAGTGGTTGATGCATCATTTTATTGGGGAGAAAATAACAATCTTGATTTACACAATTGCTTTGTTGTAAAAATATTCAGTCCTCAACACTGTAATGTTTTCTTCCAGTTAATGGAGAAATACCTAGGTCTACATTTGCTCTTATTTTCGTAGAATTTCAGAGAATCCAGAATTTGATAAATTGTTGAATTAATTCTCAGCTTTTTCACTATTTCCTGAAGTTCTTAAACTTAGAGAACCAGATTCAAAACAAAGACTCTATTTAAGAATTTGCCCAGTGTGTTCAGTAAATACTTCCACAGCTCAAGAGTATGACTGTTGCATGTTTTTGAGTGAATGCAGTTGAGCTTGTGTTAGCCATTATTTATGTATGATGTGTATATATATTATGTTGATACACCGATATTGCTGCTTTTGTGATCCAATAAAAATTGTAGCTTTAAATATGATCTTTCATCTGCAGTATAAATGTCCTTGTTTCTCCTTCTCCAGAAACCAGATTGGGAAGTGGCTGTAAAATGCATAAACAAGAAGAATCTATCAAAATCACAAATCCTTCTCGGGAAAGAAATCAAGATATTAAAGGTACAGTTGTTTTTGTGCATGTGCTTGAATATTTAGTAACCACTATAGTCGCAGATGCTTCACAATGTTTGGTTGCTAGATGCTGTCCTCAATCTTATTAAACACAATCTGTTACCAGGTCACAGTGAAAAAATAAATTATCTTTCTTGGGAACACTACAATGTTGAAAAAAATCATCAATGAAAGTCTTTCATTTTTTCAGTGGCAGTAAGAGAAAGACTAACTAATGGCAGCACTTCAATTGGTTTTCAGTCTTTAATTCTTATTCTGTTTTTCATTTTAGGAACTCCAACATGAGAATATTGTAGCTCTTTATGATGTTCAGGTAAGTCATTGGTTTTTAGTCACTTTCTGAATCACTTTTAGAATACGTAACCTTTCTACCACCCAGTACGCATACTAGGAAAACTGTCAGACACATTATTTGAAGCCAAACCACCAGCAGAAAAATATGCTTTGTGTTTGATGTGGGGTTCCTTTTTTTTCTAACCTGTTTGGCTGTGAAGTGGCTGGAAAATACCAAGTATTTAAGTCAGCAGTTTTGCACATGATTCCTTCGTCTATTAATAGTTTATATGATGTAACTTTGATCACTGAAGCAAAGAAAATCTTTTTCATTTTGACGTTGAAATGTTTGATGTACAACATAAAGCTCATTTGTAAATTTTGCCATTTAGATTGCCCAAATGAAGGATTATTTAACTTCTTAACAGTTTCAAATAAAAGATTTTTTTGAACCTCTTCTGAGGGCAGTTTATGTTCTGTGTCATTTCACTTATTTTGATTTGTAATAATATCTTTTTCTTCTTTGAGATCCCTTATGTAAATATAGATTGGAGTCCTATAACTCAGTGGTTAGAGCACTCGCCTTGCAAACGAGAGACCTGGGTTCGATTCCCGGCAGGGCGAAACCTTGGGAAACTTTTCTTAATCCATACACCTGATAATAATCCCTCAAGAAAAATACAAACAAAAAAAAATTGGTTACTCGTTCCACGACTGTTGGTGAAACATGGCTGTGCGCAATTGGCTGCCGCGTTTCACCTACAAATATAGTGTCAATTCACTACAGTATATTCTTATTGTGTGAAGCGCTTTAGACGTCTCAAAGATGTGATAAGGGGACTTGAAGTGCACCATTTAAAAATTCAAGGATTATTATTTTCTGAACACTTCCTTCTGTAAATGAATATAGTTGCTACTTCAGCTAATTCTGCTTTATGCAAGCATGTTTGGTAATGACGAAATATCATCAGTTTGAAATGCTGGTGTGCTGTGATAAAGAACCTCTGTGAACGTTAACTTTATAACTCATCATAAAGTATGGACAGAATTTTTCATGTACCTAGCAATTGCAATTTTTTTAAAAAATGTCTTTTTTTGTCAAAATTTGCACTCATCCAACTGTGGACTGTCAGTGCATGGAATGAAACTTCATTTATATTATCCAGTGTCAATAATGAGTATGTCTTGGGTAGAACATGGCCAGGTGCTGAGTAATACGCCCTTCTATTCATTCCGCCAAGGTTTGTTCAGTCTCAGAGTATCGGCTATAAAATTTCAGTCTGGCATATCTGAGTGCGTTTGTCAGCATATGTGGTCATGGGAACTGGGTTTGGACTGCTCAACTTGTGTTACTATTATTTTGATCATCAATGCAGCAAAATAAAATGCCAGCTGCCTGTGGAGCACTGTTTGACTTGCATTTCTTACAATGAAACCAGAAATGCATTTAATCTTGGGCTGGATATCCAGCCAAGTGATCCATCCTGTCTGAGTAACACTGCAGTATCAAAAGCAGAGTGGGGCCCACTGTTTCAGAAACTTAACAGATTCATGAGTATAAAATGACTTGAGAAATTTAGCATTTAATTAAGGGCGGAAAGGGTATAATCCTCTAGGTATTAATTAAACCTCCAGTATGATGTCATTAGAATTGTGTTTTTTTGCCTTGCGAGGTTATGTTAGTTTTTTGTGTAGTGAGAAGTGCAAGCGTGGAAAATATATATTCAACAACAGTGACATCAACTTGCATTTATATCGTTTCCTTCATGCAGAACAGCACGAGGGACACTTTAAACATCTGCATCTTAGCATTGAAGTTGCAGAAAAACATTCTTGGAAAAAATTACTTAATCAGTACTTGAAAAAATATTGGTTTGTGAGAAAATACTTTGAAGGAAGCAACCATTACACAAGGCCTGGAGCAATGGACACGTTGCTTAAATACAGAATTTAAAATGGAGCTGAACCAACTTTACACAGCAACAACAACTAGAACAAATACCCTTTATTATGACACTGAATGACCTTGAAAATCATAGGAGATTAGGCACCTGCTTCAGACCGAGGTGTCTGTTTTACCCCTTGCATCTTTGGTGATGTTGCTGGCAAGTGGAGTCCTGTAGCTCAGTGGTTAGAGCACTCGCTTTGCAAGTGAGAGACTTGAGTTCAGTTCCAGGCAGGTCAGGGCGAAACCTTGGGCAAGTTTCCTTAATCCACACGCCTAATAATAATAATCCCTCCAAAAAAAAAATAATAAATTGTTCATTTTCAATCCATGACTGTTTGTGGGACATTGCTGTACGCAATTGGCTGCCGCGTTCGCCCACAAATATACAGTCAATTCACTTTGCAGTGTGTTCTGTGAAGCGCTTTGGGACGTCCTCCCGACGTGAAAAGCGCTATATCAAATTCAAGGATTATTAAGTGGCAGACAAACCTAATCCAGATTTAACAAGCAGCCGTGCTGGTTATACACGTTATTTACCATAATAAAAGCTGAAAAATTGCTGTTAAAAAGTACTAAATTGCTGTTGGTGATGAAGATTCTTTGGATACATTTGCGTTTTTTAAATTGGAAGGATTACCTTTGTGAGCTTTTTTTTTGGGTGATAAAAGCACTGGCCTTCCAACTACTCTCAAATTGACATTTACTAATTATCTGCTGTATTGTTCAGATGGTGCTTTTTGTTAGTAACAGAGTGCTCTTATCTGGCAGAGCGAGCTACTTAAAAATGGGAAGGAACAGCGCTTGTTATTGAGAGGCCATGCGTACAGGTTATTTTAGTAGTTGTGGAAGAGTCCTGGCATTACAGGTGTAGAAGGAAGGAACAACAAGGTGTAGAAAGAAGGCAGTTATGTGGAGGTAGGGAATGGCTAAAAAAACACACTGCGGCCTTTCCTCTACCTTCTCTTTCCTTCCTATAGAAAACTATTTTGAAGAAAAGAAATACATTTCTGAAGATAAAATAATAATAATCAGTGCGTTTGATATAGCACCTTATCACATCTTCGAGCCGTCTCAAAGTGCTTCACAGAATATACTCTTAAGTGATTTAACTGCATATTTTGTGGGAGAAATGTGGCAGCCAATTGCGCACAGCAGTGTCCCACAAACAGTCATTGATTGAGTGACCATTTTTTTAAGGAATTATTACCCTTGGAAAAGTGATCCGCCAATTAATTAACAACCGGGTTCCCCCCTTTCTGCTGGTAAACAGAGGCGTATGGAGTAAGAAAACTTGCCCAACGTTTCGCCCTGCCGGGAATCAAGCCCAGGTCTCTCGCTTGCGAGGCAAGTGCTTTAACCACTGAGCTACAGGACTCTGCAATGTGTGGATATGTTAACCTTCAGTTCAGCTGGCAAACTAATCTGTAGTTATAATTCTTGTTTACATAGGTCAGAGTTCATGCTGGATGCTGGCCAGTGCAAAATTGCTGCCGTGGTATTCAGCAGCATTGTTTGTTCTCTGCATTGAATCTGATATTTAGAGTTGGGAAATACCAGAAGTCACAAAACAAACAATGGGTAACAAGACCCTATAACATTTTGGTGCAATAGTATGGGAAGATTTTTAAAAACAAAAAGTACCAGCTGGGCACCGAAGCTAGGGTGTGGGAGTTAAGGGGGGAGAGGGAGGGGTTGGAGGAGGAAGCTATATCCTTGAGGTAGGTTTTAAGCTGGATGTCGCATGAGGTGGGGGATGATTAATAACTACATTTGGATGTGCTTGGGTGTCAGAAAGTGACAATCGCTGCTATTCATTCATACAAGAGACTAGTACATGGAAACCTATAGCTTAGTGATTGGAGTACTCGCCTCACAAGCAAGGGGACTCTGGGTTCAATTCCCAACAGAGAGAAACGTTGGGCAAGTTTCCTTACTCCACACACCTCTGTTTACCTAGATTATTATTATTTAAAATGGCTCGAATGCAGCAAACTAATTGATTCTTATGGACTCCTTTTTAAAGTATTTGAAGGAAGGGTCAATTTGTAGTGTACTTTGTGTCACTTTTTTCACCGTTGTTGTGGTAGCAATAAAGAAGCTGGTGTGAAAAATACAACCCTAATTGAAAGCTCTTTTATTACACAGTCTTTAACAAAATCTTGTTTATATACAATGTTGAACTTTCTGTAATGACTGGGCATGGGGTCCGTGGTAAATATTGTTTGGTATTTTGAATGGATTCAGCAGGAGAAAGAATTTGAGAGTTCATTCATTTTACATTGCAACTAGTATTTTGACTGTGTTCAACTGAGGAAAACTAGTTTACATGTTTAATTCTCATGATTTCACACATTGGTGAACTCCCGATTTCAGGTGGGAGTACCTGTAAAAAGTAATCTGAAAGATTTAAAAATCTGTAATCTGAAAAACAGCAAGAGAAACTGCTGAGGAAATGTGCTGTGCAAGATTGTTGACTTGGAGTAGTAAGTCAGAAGCAGAGGAGCATGATGAAGGGCGAAAAGCAAGTTGTTGCGTGCCTTTCAGCCATGAATGGAGGAGTAAATGATTTTAGACATGTTGAATGGGAATAAACCTTCAAGGCAATAATCCAGAATTACATGTCGCACATTGAATATACAGTAGTTTGAATGCCTTAATGGAATTACAGCTTTGTGTTTCACTTCCAATAATGCTGTGGCATATTTATTGTTGCACACAGTTCTGGTTACTGTGGCATAAGGATGGTGTCTAGGCTCTCGAGGCAGTGCGGAGGGGAGCACTGAGGATAATCATCAGTTGTAGAAGTATGATGAGCTATGAGTTTGGCCTCTTCAGGTCTTGAGGAGAAAAGATGACTCAGAAGAGACAACAACAAAATTACATTTATATTGCGCCTTTCACATCGGGAGGATGTCCCAAGGTGCTGAACAATCAGTGTTTCGGACCCGAGCTGGGGCTCGGAATTGGGGAGCGTGGAGGGCAGGGGGGAAGCAGGATGATTGAAAACCCGGTCGAAGAGGAGGGTCTTGAGATGGGTCTTGAAGGAGACAAGGGAGGGGGGCGAGCTGGAAGGACTGCAGGATGGCGTTTCA